GTGTGTGTGTGTGTGTGTGTGTGTGTGTGTGTGTCCGGATACCGTTTTACTCTGCGCCAGACCCTGGTTCTCAGGCTCCGCTAGGGTGAGGCCAGGGCTTCTTCAGATCTCTCTTTGGGCTGGCGACAAGTGGGGACTCTCCAGGAGGGCACTTCCCTCTGCTCCGTGCAGATCATTATTGTCCTCAGTCCCCGAGCGAGGTTAAATAACCCCTCAGGTCACACAGATGGGACAGGGTGGGCCATATGTATCCCCAGACCACGTGGCCTCCAGCCTCGCCCCCACTCCCACCCCCCAATCAAACTCGCTGCCATGAAGTAAATGCCACCTCGCAGTGAACCTGAAGGGTAAGGTAGCATTGCCCTGGTGGGTTTCGGAGACTGTAACTCTTTATAGGAATAGAAAGCTCAGTCTTTCTCAAACTGCTAACCTTGCAGCTAATAGCCTGACATGTAACCACTGGGCCACCAGGGCTCCTCTGGCTGCCAGGCCCGGGGCCAGGGAACCCGACCATGGCTCAGGAGCTAAAAATACTCTGTGCTTTGTTTTTCATGGTTGAGGGGGTAGAGGGAAGAATATTTGGGGACGTTTGATGTTTTGCAAAATCCAGATGTCAGTGTGCATCAGTAAAGTTTTATTGAAACACGGCCATGCGCATTTGTCTCCGTATGGTCCACCATGTATATGCAGTGCGTGCTTACAGCGTTGGGGTTCAGTAGTTATGAGTCAGTGGTTCCCAACCTTCCTAAGGCCGAGACCCTTTCATACAGTTCCTCATGATGTGGTGACCCCCAACCATAAAATTATTTTCGTTGCTGCTTCATCACTGTCATTTTGCTACTGTGATGAATCGGGCTGCACTAGCCCAGCAAGAAATGAAGGCGTGTCAGAGGCCAGCCTCACCACAGTCAGGCCTGAACGGATGGGGAAGGCAGAAAGTGGCTACGCACCCCCAGGAGCCATGGAGGACGGGGGAGAAGGCAGCCTTGCAGGAATAGAGACCCAGAGCCTGGAGAGAAAAAGGAAAACATACTGAGACCGTTCTCTCCACTGACCCTCCCCGGTCTTACTCTGGGGCTTCCCACCCACCCAACCCAACCAGAAGTCAGCAGGTCGGTCCCCATATTTAGAGGGGCGCACAGATAGCAGCCAGCTCAGTCCATGTGGCCAAATGGCCTTCCAAACAGACGTGGTGGGCTTTCCAACCAAGTAGGGGCGCCCACTTCCCCACCTGGAACAACCACTCTGCTTATCATCTCCCCTCCACTCTTTGCTAAGGATGAAGATTTTTAAAAAACGGGAGAGAGACTTTCATTGCGAACGACACTGGACATCTTTTCAGAAGTTTGT